TTCTATTCTGCCACCAAAAGATCATTACTGAAATCCTCTTTAAAGTTATCGGTAAAATCACTCATAAAATTTAAATGTGTTTTAAAATTTTATTTCACGAATAATCCACCGATAGTTTGAAAAGGATTTAGTGATGGCCTCTACTGGTGGTAGAAAAGGGACTATGATAAACCTTGAATCTTGAATGGAATTGGAAGACAACTGATTTAGTGAGATCATAGAGAAAAAGAAAATATATTGTTGAGTAATTTGAAGTAAGAAATGAAAGAAGAAATAGTTCTATTTATAGGACTTTTAAAAAAATATTGTGGAGATTAATACAATATAGAATTGTGATTAGATGGAAGGAACTTAATTGTAAGTGGAGTTTTTGGGAAAAGTTAATTTACTTACCTTTAATATAAATTGCAATAAGGGTGGGTTAGAATTAGAGAGAAGATAACTTGTTGACTTAATGTGATGTGGACTTTTTGAAATTTTTTAAATTTACTTACCTTTAAGATGTTACAATTTGGAGTTTTGGAGCAAAATTTTTTTTTTCTCAAAAACTCCAAATTGCAATATCTTAAAGTTAAGTAAATACATATTTTTCCCCCCAAAAACTCCATATTGCAATATCTTAAATGTAAAAGTAATTTTTAAAAAATCAAAAACTCCAAATTGCAATATCTTAAAGGTAAGTAAATTAATTTTTTTACAAAAACTCCACTTGCAATAAGAGTGGGTTAGAATTAGAAAGAAGATAACTCTGTGACTTGAATAATCCAATATAAATTATGAGAACATGAGTTAAAATTGATTTCAAGATTAATAATATATTTTCCTTCTTTAAAACATGATTAATTCATCCTATAACATCAAGACATTAGAGTTATATTAAAATTAAATTAAGATAAACACTCAATTTTACGTGCATAGCTAATTCTTTTTTACTATGTATGCTATAAAAAAATTGATTACACTATTATTTTGAGAGGAATTTGAAGATAGAAAATTATGGAGAAGCTTTTTCTTATGTATTCATCTGTGCAGTATCCTTCTTTATACAACTCTATTTATACAAAATAAATAATAAAAGAAAAGCAATATTTACACTTGTCCATTTGTCATTAGTCTAAAGCTGACAGAATGTAACTAACTATATTCTTCCTTGTGCCTATCACGTGTTCTACTTCAGCTGGAATTGGAATTATCTGAAGGGTGGATGTCATGTCCAACACATAATTGATCAACGATCCTTGCTTCTTCCTTATTCTACCTTCTTCATTTCTTTGATTGATTTCTTGATTAACTCAAACTTCAATATTCCCTCTCAAGTTGGAGGGGAGAGTAACAACACCCAACTTGTTGAGTGCAAATCTATGAGAAATCACCGATAAGGGTTTGGTGAAAAAAATCAGCAAGCTGAACAACAGAGAGAACAAAATTGAGTGAGATCAAACCAGAGATGAATTGTTGCCGCACAAAATGACAATCCAATTCCACGTGTTTAGTCCATTCATGAAAAACTGGATTGCGAGCAATATGAAGGGCTGCCTGGCTATCTGAGTGAACAGGAACAGGTAAGGGCGGAGGAATAGAGAGATCTGCTAGCTAGAAGACGAGTCAACCAGGTGATTTCAGCAGTGACTCAACGCATTGAACGATATTCCGCTTCGGCAGATGAGAGATATTTAAAAACTTGTTTCTTAGATTTCCAGGAAATAGGGGAACCACCAAGACTGATGAAAAAGCCACTCACGAAACGACGAGAATCAGGACAAGAGGCCCAATCAACATCGCAAAAAGCAAGCAAAGAGAGTGAGGGATCTGAGTTGAGTAGGAGACCTAGGTCGGGGTTCTCTGCAAGATAACGCAGTACTCGATAGACGATAGAAAAATGAGCAAGACGAGGCATTTACATATATTGAATGAGAATAAGGACTGCAAAGGACAAATCCGGGCGAATATGAGATAAATAATTCAGCTTTCCCACAAGCCGCCGATAAGTAGTAGGATCCTCGAGCAAAGGACCAGAGTCAGCGGCTAATTTGATCGAAGGATCCAATGGAGATGAAACTTTGCCAATATGTGAGCAGTCATACACAGAGAGTAAATCAATGGTAAATTTCCGTTGACTCATAATTATTCCTTGAGGTTCCTGTAAAACTTCGATGCCTAGAAAATAATGTAGATTTCCTAAGTCTTTTATACAAAACTCTGAATGAAGAAAAGCTTTGATATCTGAAATCTTAGTAGGATTGTTGCCAGTAATGACTATGTCATCAACATAAGCAGCTAATAGAGTGGTAGAATTTTTTGACGTTTTGAAAAATAAAGAGTAGTCATTTAGGGAAGATGAATAACCCTTAAAACTAAGAGCACCTGCAAGCCGAGCACACCATTGTCGGGAAGCTTGTTTTAATCCATAAAGGGACTTTCTGAGCTTACAAACATGATTAGGACTAGGTGAAGCCAAACCAGCGGGAAATTTCATATACACCTCTTCTTGCAAATCACCATGCAAGAAAGCATTGTTTACATCGAGTTGAAATATAGGCCAAAACATCTTAGCAGCCACAGTAAGAAGACATCGAATCGTAGTCATCTTAACTACGGAGGAAAATGTTTCAGTGTAGTCAATCCCCTCTCGTTGAATATCACCTCGAATAAAAAGTCTAGCCTTTAATTTGTCCACTGTTCCATCTGACAAAGTTTGACTTTATATACCCATTTACAAGGCAATGCCTTCTTGCCATTGGGTAATAAAAAAATGTCCCATGTCCTATTTCTATCTGGTGCCTCTAATTCTTTATCCATGGCTTCCCTCCAACCTGAGTGTTGAGCAGCCTGCGTATAAGCAGTTGGTTCTGTAATTTGGGACAAAGATAGAATAATATGTTGGTTGTGGAGGGACATAGCTGAGAAAGAGAAAGTGGAGGGATGAACTGGGGTAGTGAAATAGGTTGTGGTCACATATGTGAAAACAAGATTGTTGCAGTCATAATCATGTAAATAAATTGGTCTTTTGTGAGTCCTCTTTGTTCTTCATAGAGTAGGAGAAGGTGAATGAGAGGAAACATGAGTAGGAACAACAAATTAAAATCAGTAATTGGAGAAAAAGAAGAGGGTGAAGAGTGAACGGATGAGCTGGAAGGGTTGACTGTAGGAGGAGAATGATGAAGAGAATTAGGATAGGAAAATACAATAGGATTATAATCTTCAATGGAATCTATTGTTGGTAAATGGATAGAAGTAGGAAAAATAGGTTGAGGAGTACTGTGAGAATGAGATAAGAAAGGAAAATATCTTCATGGAAATGAACATCCCTGGAAACAAGAATCTTATGTGTATCTAGGTCCAAACATTTAAAGCCTTTTTGATTGGCTGGATATCCGAGAAAAACACATGGCTTAGCTCTGGGTTTGAATTTACCTCTATTATGAGCAAGAGTAGAAACATAAACCAACCAAAAACCCTTAGGTTGTGATAGAATGTGCTACTGTTATATAGCACTTCGTAAGGGGTTTTTACCATTGAGGACTTTGGAAGGTATTTTATTGATGAGATGAGTAGCAGTAAGGAGACATTCACTCCAAAATTAAATAAGAACCTTTGATTGAAAAAGAATAGCCTTGGAAACTTCTAACAAATGTCTGTGTTTCCTCTCCACAACACCATTTTGTTGAGGAGTGGAAACACAAGAGGTTTGATGAACTATTCCCTGAGCAGATAAAAAACTTAAAGTTTCAATGTTGTTGCCTAACTCAAGAGCATTGTCAGATCTGATAATCATAACTTTAAGATAAAATTGCCTTTCCACCATAGCCAAAAAAATCTTAAGAATATGAAAAGCATTACTCTTAGCTTTTAATAAGAAAGTGCAAGTGACCCTGCTATAATCATCAACAATGGTAAGAAAATATTTAGAACCATCATAGGTAGGTTCTTTATAAGGACCCCAAGTGTCTATGTGAATTAGCTCAAAAACTCTTTTAGATTTGATATGGCTGATAGGAAAAGATAACTTAGATTGCCTTACCAAGGGACAAACATCACAAGTGCATTCAGAAACAGAAGGAAAATTAATAAAACTGATGTTTTTCATTGCATGAAAAGGCAAATGTCCCAATCTCTTATGCCAGAGTATTACATCAGATTTTGATTTGACAGAAATAGGAACAGAGAAAGAAACTGAAACATATTGAAAACTATTTTGCAGATCTAAAACAACAGACTGATTCTTGAAATAATTCTTAGGTGAAGTCTTAGTAGGTTGAAGTAAGAAAAGCCCATCATTGGTCTCACCAAAAACTTGAGCCCTCTTCATAAAAAGGGCCTGCAAAAAACAACCAGTAGGAGTAAATAGAAGGCAAGACTGAAATTACTTAACAAATTTGTCTACAGACAGTAAGTTATATTTGAAAGAGGGCACATATAAGACATTTTCAAGGATGAGATCAGAAAAAATGGATATTGTACCTTTATGAGTAATATTAACTTGAGTGAGATTGGGAAGGATAATAAACATAGGGGAAGATAAAGGAGTCAAAGAATTGAAAACTGATGGATTGAAACACATGTGCTCAGAAGTCCCAGAATCTATGATCCAGGAGCTGGAATTCATTCAAGACAAGTGAAAGCAAGAGTATAGGATATACCAGTGCTAGCATTAGCATTTCCAGTATAAACTGCATCAGGTGGTATAACTGACATTGATATATCTGCTCCCTTCTTTCCCCTGTAATATTGGACTGCTTTAGTATATTCTTCTTTAGTCAGGAACTGTCCCAGTTTCCTCCCAAAGACGAATTGTATGATATCCCTTCTTCTTCTTCTTTAGCTGAAACAACATTGCTCTTGATTGCAGGTTGAGGTTTCTTTGGTTTGACATTAGTAAACTTCAAATCTGGTGGAAATCCAATCAATCTGTAACAATCTTGTTTTATGTGGTTAGTCTTCTTGCAATGGGTTTGAGTAGATCTGTTATCCCACATCCCTTGATTTTGTGAGTGAATCTTTTAGTTAACATAAGCTTGGTTAGCAACATAACCCTGATTATCAACATAAGATTGAGGGATGTTATTTCCTTGTTTTCCTACCATAAAGAAAGAAGGACCAGTAGATACATTCACATAGCTCTCCCTTTGATTTTCATCTTGCAAAAGTAATGAGTAGGCATGATTGAGGTTAGGTAACAGTTTAATAATTAGAATGTTGCTCCTTGCTGGTGCATAAGTCTCATTCAACCCCATAAGAAACCTGAAGAGTTTCTCATCTTCCAGTGATTTGGTTAATTTCTGTTTACCTCCACAAACACATAAACATTTACACTTGTTTTCTGCATTTAGTGATTCTAACTCATCCCACAACCTTTTCATTTTTGTGTAGTAACATGCAACATCAGTGTTATCTTGAACGAAGTCACTAAGTTCCTTTTGTAAATAAAAGAGTTTAGCACCATTTGATTGTCCAAACCTCTGTTCTAGATCTGTATACAAATCCTTAGCAGTTTGTGAATAAATCACATTGTCAGGTATATCTTTTGATAAATAATTTAGTAACCAAGAAGTTACCATATCATTGCACCTACTCCATAGATGATAGTCTGATGAACTTCGATTTGAAATCTTGCAGGTACCATCTATAAATCCGAGCTTATATTTAGCTGAAAGGGCTATGAGAATGGTCCTTCGCCAGCCCTGAAAACCTCTTCCATAAAAAATGAAGTTCACCAAGCTCATTCCTGGCTTATCTGAAGAGTGAAGATAAAAAGGATGACTAGAATCAATTTGATTTGCATTTCTAGTTCCAGGTGGATTTCCAATTGATGTTGCAATGCTGTTATCCCCCATTAGAAACAACAGAAAAGAATAAATCTAGAAAACTTCACTACTCTGATACCATGAGAGGAATTTGAAGATAGAAAATTATGGAGAAGCTTTTTCTTTTGTATTCATCTGTGCAATATCCTTCTTTATGCAACTCTATGTATACAAAATAAATAATAAAAGGAAAGCAATATTTACACTTATCCATTTGTCATTAGTCTAAATCTGACAGAATGTAACTAACTATATTCATCCTTGTGCCTATCACGTGTTCTACTACAGCTAGAATTGGAATTATCTGAAGGGTGGATGTCATGTCCAACACATAATTGATCAACGATCCTTAAATCTCCACGTGTCTTAGCTTTATGTGAATTAAGAACTGAATCATTTTGAGACATCAACTTTGAGTTCTTATCTGCTTCTTTCTTCTTTTTGATGTCGCCGTCTTGCTTCTTCCCTATATTACCTTCTTCATTTCTTTGATTGATTTCTTGATTAACTCGAACTTCAATATCCCCCCTCAAGTTGGAGGGGAGAGTAACAACACCCAACTTGTTGAGTGCATATCTATGAGAAATCCCCGATAAGGGTTTGGTGAAAAAATCAGCAAGCTGAACAGCAAAGGGAACAAAATTGAGTGAGATCAAACCAGAGATGAATTGTTGCCGCACAAAATGACAATCCAATTCCACGTGTTTAGTCCGTTCATGGAAAATTCGATTGCGAGCAATATGAAGGGCTACCTGGATATCTGAGTGAACAGGAACAGGTAAGGGCGGAGGAATAGAGAGATCTGCTAGAAGACGAGTCAACCAGGTGATTTCAGCAATGACTCGATGCATTGAACGATATTCCTCTTCGGCAGATGAGAGAGAAATGGAAACTTCTTTCTTAGATTTCCAAGAAATAGGGGAACCACCAAGACTGATGAAAAAGCCACTCACGGAACAACGAGAATTAGTACAAGAGGTCCAATCAGCGTCGCAAAATGCATGCAAGGAGAGTAAGGGATCTGAGTTGAGTAGGGGACCTTGGCCGGGGTTCTCTGCAAGATAACACAGTACTTGATAGGCGGCAGAAAAATGAGCAATACGAGGCATTTACATATATTGACTGAGAATGAGGACTGCAAAGGACAAATCCGGGCGAGTATGAGTCAAATAGTTCAGCTTTCCCACAAGCCGCCGATAAGTAGTAGGATCCTCAAGCAAAGGACCAGTGTCAGCGGCTAATTTGATCAAAGGATCCAATGGAGATGAAAATTTGCCAATATGTGAGCAGTCATACTCAGAGTAAATTAATGGTAAATTTCCGTTGACTCATAATTATTCCTTGAGGTTCCTGTAAAACTTCGATGCCTAGAAAATAATGTAGATTTCCTAAGTCTTTTATACACAACTTTGAATGAAGAAAAGCTTTGATATCTGAAATCTCAGTAGGATTGTTGCCAGTAATGACTATGTCATCGACATAAACAACTAATAGAGTGATAGAATCTTCTGACTTTTTGAAAAACAAAGAGTAGTCATTTAGGGAAGATGAATAACCCTTAAAACTGAGAGCACCTGCAAGCCGAGCATACCATTGTCGGGAAGCTTGTTTTAATCCATAAAGGGACTTTCTGAGCTTACAAACATGATTAGGACTAGGTGAAGCCAAACCAGCGGGAAATTTCATATACACCTCTTCTTGCAAATCACCATGCAAGAAAGCATTGTTTACATCGAGTTGAAATATAGACCAAGACTTCTTAGCAGCCATGGTAAGAAGACATTGAATCGTAGTCATCTTAACTACGGGGTAAAATGTTTCAGTGTAGTCAATCCCTTCTCGTTGAATATCACCTTGAACAACAAGTCTAGCCTTTAATCTGTCCACTGTTCCATCTGACAAATGTTTGACTTTATATTTCCATTTGCAAGGCAATGCCTTCTTGCCATTGGGTAATAAAACAATGTCCCATGTCCTATTTCTATCTAGTGCCTCTAATTCTTTATCTATGGCTTCCCTCTAACCATAGTGTTGAGCAGCCCTGCGTATAAGTAGTTGGTTCTGTAATTTGGGACAAAGATAGAAGAATATGTTGGTTGTGGAGGGACAATGCTGAGAAAGAGAAAGTGGAGGGATAAACTGGGGTAGTGAAACAGGCTTTGGTCACATCTGTGAAAATAAGATTGTTGTAGTCATAATCATGTAAATAAATTGGTCTTTTGTGAGTCCTCTCTGTTCTTCTTAGAGTAGGAGAAGGTGAATGAGAGGAAACATGAGGAGTAGAAACAACAGAATCAATAACTGGAGAAAAAGAAGAGGGTGAAGAGTGAACGGGTGAGCTGGAAGGGTTGACTGTAGGAGGAGAATGATGAATAGAAGTAGGATAGGAAAATACTATAGGATTATAATCTTCAATGGAATCTATTGTTGGTACAGGGATAGAAGTAAGAAAAATAGGTTGAGGAGTACTGTGAGAATGAGATAAGAAAGGAAAATATCTTCATGGAAATGAATATCCCTGGAAACAAGAATCTTATGTGTATCTAGGTCCAAACATTTAAAACCTTTTTGATTGCTTGGATATCCGAGAAAAACACATGGCTTAGCTCTGGGTTCGAATTTACCTCTATTATGAGCAAGAGTAGAAACATAAACCAAACAACCAATATATTTCTTTGATATCGCCGTCTTGCTTCTTCCTTATACTACCTTCTTCATTTCTTTGATTGATTTCTTGATTAACTCGAACTCCAATATATTTCATGGATGTTTGGGAGACTCACTAATTTTATTGGTCAAATCCATTGGATGACCCCCTTAAGTTGGCACTAAGTTTCACTTACACACCTCAATTGAGTGATGTTCATTTTAGACACCTCTTGTAGGGTCCCGTTGTGTCATTTTAACACTTTTTGCTGACATGTCAAAGTGAGTGTGATACACTCAACAATAGAGCGTGAAAGACTCAATTTAGCTATTTTTTTATTTTATTTTCTCTTCTTCTTCTCCAATTTTCAAGCGACCACCTCCCATGTTAAATACGAGAAACTTAGATCATGCATTCATTTTTTCCTTAATCTATTTTTCATAACAGATTATATTTGATTCGATTCATTCATTTGCTAGCACTAATGCATGAAATAGTAATAGTTACAAAATTATTCATTTTTACTCATACCCTAAAAATTATCTCAAAAGAGGAAGAATTTTTCAAGCGTATATAAGGAGTCTCGAGATCAACTTCGATCTAATGTGGGACATTCTCATTACACACACCCTCGCCGTCTCACACGCCCAAACACTATCTAAATTGGAGCATGCATAATCATGAACTAATAGTACATTCACAACACCATCGCGGATCTAGAGCCTCCCATTAAGTGATTTTCACTCTGATAAGTGCTTATATGTTAAGATACATTTATTATATTTTATTTTTTGTTAAATTTGTTAAGATACATTTATGATTTATCTAAAAAATTAATATTGCCTCCATCTAAGTTATAAACGGCCGAGATTTTTTTTATAGCTCGGTAGAAAATTCGCCACCTTGTTAATTTTTTTGTGACTGTTGCGTCGATGGGCTCTTCATCATGTGACAACAATGGGTAACTCTTCGATTGAAGTATGATGTTATACGCGAAAGACACAAATAATATTACAATTAAATAAAGGAAATATACTTAAATATGTCATCAAATTATGTAAACAAACTTATTTATGCCGTTCGTTAAAAGTTTAACTTATATATATCTTGAAAACAAAAAACTATCCATGCCATTATTTTTTACTTTTACTTTTGCAAAACTATTTTGTCCATATGGGAATTATGATTCGACCACATTGTAGACAATAAGTACAAATCAAACACGTCATTAATTATTTAACTAATTTCGAATCAACCAATTTTCTAAAACCATTTGAATTTTTATTTAAAAGCATCCATATTATAAACTCACACAAAATAAGGGTATTTATTTCGGATGGGTTTATAATTTAGGTATTTTTTTTTCAAATGCAAATGGGTTTTAGAAATTTTGGCTGTTATTTTTTTGAAAAAATAATTAAACAATGACGAGGTCAAATCCTTATTCGTTCGTAGACAAAATATCCTTCACATTGGATGGGTTTATAATTTGGGTATTTTTTTTAAATTCATTTTTTTTTTTAGAAATTTGGTTTTTTTTTTAAGAATAATTTAATTAATGATGCGGCTAAATCGTTGGCCACACAGACAAATACCCTTATTTCAGATGGGTTTAACATTAATTTGGGTTTTTTTCTAAATTCAAATTGATTTTAGAAATTTGGCTATACTTTAAAAAAAATTGATTAATGACGTGACTCATTCATCGTTGGTCCTATAGGCAAAATGGTTTTGTGAAATCGGAGCTCAAAAATAATGGTATGAATGAGTCTTTTCTCAAACGAAAAATTACATAAATGAGTCAAACTTTTAACTGATTGCATAGAGGAGTTTTTTCTCAAATTTTGATGACATATTTAAACTTTCTCCCTTAATTAATTTATATTAATGCTATACAATTTTGAAGTTATACCGTAAAATCTCATCTAAGAAAGGAAAAAACATGCTAGATTCTGCTACTCTCAAAGTATTTGTGCACTTCTAAATACTATGATAGCTAAATTAAGAGATGATTATATTTTTGAAATTTTCCCCTATATTAATGTCTTGTGTATTTTAAATTTTTATATTGGTTGAGAAAAATAATATATATATATATCAAATATGTATCGGTAAAAAATAAAGTGCCAAACGTAATACTTCAAAATACATAATTTTCTAAATACTCTGAGTAAGTCGTCAATATGGCTAGGCTTGTTGGGACGGTTTGCCTAACTGTTACGATCTAAAAATGAACGTGATGTCACTTGTCTTTTCCCACCAAGACAAGTCAGCTTCAACCCAACGAAAATAAAAGAAATGCGAAAAACAGTAAAAACAAGAACAAGATAAAGCGAAAAACTTATTCTTCTATCAAAACCCCCAACATCTGGTTGCCACGTGT